ACAATCTACCTTAAACTTTATTCTGGAATAAAACCTATGCTAACTTGCTACATTACCTACTCAAAAAGGAATTATTTCAGCACTTGTAGTGATATAAATACAATACTGCAAAGCTGTATCTTGAAAACTTTTTCATTTGAAACACAATTTCAGTTTGAAAAATATGTACAAATAAAGCCAGATTTTCACCTGACAATAATATAAATATTTAAGCAAAAGCTGAGCTCTTGGTCTGTGGAGCTGAAGAAACTGCACAGTTACCTTTAGAAATGTATCAATTCTACCTACCAGGTATCAAACTTTTAAAGGAGTTACTGTAATATCCCTTTTTTTATTTTTGCCCTAAGCTCCCCAAATTAGAAGCACACATAATCAGACATCACTGTACAGCATCACAGATAATTAGAAATAATTATGATGCCTCTTGTAGCACTGAAAGATATAACTCCATACATTTCTTCTTTTGTAATATATTTTTATTGACTTTTTAGATAGAAAGGGCGGGAGAGGGGGACAGAGATAGAAACATCAATGAGAGAGAAACATTGGTCAGCTGCCTCCTGCATGCCCCCTACTGGGGATTGAGCCCCAACCCAGGCATGTGCCCTGAAGGGGAAATTGAACTGGCGACCTCTAAGTGCATGGGATGATGCTCTATCCACTGAGCCTCACCGGCCAGACAAAACACCATACATTTCAAAATTAAATCATGATCAGTTCAACCTAGCTTTTTTTTTTCCCCTTAATATTAATTTTAGAGAGAGAGGAAGGGAGAAGGAGAGAGAGAGGGAGAAACATCGATGAGAGAGAGCATCGATTGGCCGCCTCCTGCATGCCACCCCCCCCACACACCAGGATTTGGCCCACAACCTGGGCATGTGCCCTGACCAGCAATCAAACCGGCAACTTCTTGGTGCCTGGGTTGATGTTTAACCACTGAGCCACACCAGCTGGACCAAATGAGCTTTTTAAAATAAGCTATTATTTTTTGAAAATACTATTCTGTATTAGGGCTATAAGATGAAACTGGTTTAAACAGGATGCTAAATTAAATCATCAGAAAACCCTTTCCCCAAAGGATGAGGGATAAACAGGCCATTGTTACTTCATTTTAGAGTATTAATGTAATGGTAAGGCTGCAACAAAGCAATTCAAATGTAAGGTATTCTTTGTACTACTTTGTCAAACGGACTGCACTGTCAATACAGGGGCCACCATGCACTTGTGGCTATTTGGATATAATTAACATTAAGTAAATGTAATAGTCAGTTCCTCAGTCCCACGAGTCAAAATTCAAATGCAGTAGTGGCAGGCGGCTGGTGGCTACCATACTGGACAGCACAGAAAGAGAACACCTCCATCATAGCTCGACATAAATGTCCAATACATGACACCTCCTACCGAGAGACATGAACAAACGCAAGTCCCCTGGTCCTCCACGTGGCACTGCAGAATGCTGTGTATGGTTTTGTGTGTGGGCTTTTTAACTTAACTTACCATTTCAGCAGCAGGTCAAAACAGAAGTGTTTGTAAAATCATATCTAAAAAGAACAGCGAAGGCTTTTAGAGTTAGCTAAGCTCTTCCATAAAAATACTGTTTGACTAGAACACTTCACAAAATCAAAGTAACGACAAAAGAGATCTGGTATTTTAAATAGCTGAGAAATTTTGCTTTTAATAATTATTTCTCTTTGATAAGCAAATACAATGAGAGTGGCTCACTAAAAATCCATGCACTCTTGTCCTGGTTTGTGTGGCTTGGCTGATTGGACATTATCCTGTGTACCCAGAGGGTGCCGGTTCGATTCCCGGTCAGTACACATGGCCAGGTTTCAGGCTTGATCCCCAGTAGGGGGTGTGCAGGAGGCAGCCTATTGATGGTTCTCTTTCTCTCTCCCTCTCTCTCTAAAAATCAATAAATATCTTTTTTTCCAAGTCATGCTCTCAAACTGCAAATAAACCTTTGTTTAATGAAGAAAAATTAGATGTCAAGTATAGACGATTAATCAGTTTCTCCTTGCTACGGTGTGGAAATATCAGACCACCAGAGATACTGACTATGGCAGGTATCTGAAAATGAGTGAAATTAGCACGCCCATTTCTGCAGTACCCCATCATTATTCTACTGTGATTCTCAGCACTATTTACTTATTTTTAGTTAGCCTATTAAAATGCACCTTCCCCTTCTGGTTTTAGGTCCAATTATCACTTCACATCCCATATGAAAGAAAATCACTTCTCTACTGGGTGAGAAAACACATGAACACAACTTATTTGCACATTTTTAATATAATGTAGTCTACACAGCAAACTGTTAACCTTTAAAATGCCTTTACAAGCAAACCAAGGAATGCCCTCTTAATGTCCCAGAGCTATACACTTAAAATGGTTAAAAATGATCATTTTGATTGTGTTCATTTCACCACCACAACAAAAAAGCCTATCAAGGCAATTGTCTACATTCTGAAACTGTCCATTTTTTCATAGAAAGTATAATGTTTTTCCTGGTAAGTTGGTTAGATTTTTCAGAGTAAATTCAAAACCTCACTCAATGCTGGAATAAAATCAATATTAAAAGCTAAATGTGCCCTGGCCGGTTTGGCTCAGCAGTTAGAACGTCGGCCTGTGGTCCGGAGAGACCCGGGTTCGGTTCCCGCTAAGGGCACGTACTTCGGTTGCAGTTTGTCCCCGGCCCTGGTTGGTCGTGCGGGTGGCAGCCACTCGATGTGTCCCTTTCACGTCGATGTTTCTCTCTCTCTCTCTCTCTCTCTCTCTCTCTCTCTCTCTCTCTCTCTCTCCTTCTCTCTCCCTCCCACTCTATCTGTACAAAAATTGGAAAAATGTCCTCGGGTGAGGATAAAAAAAATAAAATAAAAAGCTAAAGGTGATGCCCTGGCCAGTCTGGCTCAGCAGTTAGAGTGTCGGCCTGCAGACTGGAGAGTCCCGGGTTCAGTTTTCGCTGAGGGCATGTACCTCGGTTGCAGTTTGTCCCTGGCCCTGGTTGGAGTTGTGTGGGTGGCAACCATTCCATGTGTCTCTCTCACATGGATGTCCACCCCACCCCACCCCCACTCTATCTGAAGATAAATGCAAAAATGTCCTCAGGTGAGGATTAAAAAAAAAAAAAAGCTAAAGGTGAAAAATATATTTAAGAAAACAGTCTTATTTGTAGGTACCCAAAATATCCCAGGATAAAGACACCTATAACATGAGGTTACTTAATGAAAATGTTTCATATGTTTATGTAATGCAAGGATAAGAATCTCAGTTTAACCAGTATTGTGAATTCAGAAGAAGTCTTACCTAGCATCTGTTCCAAGCTAGGCACTGAACTAATTGCTTCATAAACAGTAAATTTAATCTTCACAACCACCCTAAGGGCTCAGTACTATTATAATCCCCATTTTACAGATGATGAAACTGAGGGACAAACCATTAAAAAAGAAAAAAAAGCCTATGGTCACAGAGGTAGTAGCTGAGCAAATCCATTATTGACAGTTAGTCTGGCTTCAAAGTCTGGCTTCAAAGGTGGTACACATGCCACACCACATTGCCAGTCTCGCTGTTAAAATTCTACTCTGACCTTAGAAAGACAATCAGAAGGATCATACTGCTCAATTAAATATAGTCTCAAGAGCTATATAACTTTCTACAAATTCTGATGATCTGATATGCATTTGGGAAGAGGAAACAAAAGTGTTAAGAAAGTCCAAAAGGATACCTTGACATAAAACCGACCTTTAAGGAAGAAATCATCTAACAATGACCAACACTTGTCATGCTCTTATTTTTAAGGGGGGGGGGGGGGGATCACAGCCAGCCAGGAAGAATTATTTCAAGAAAAAGAAAAAAGTAAATTCCAGGAATAAAAATTTTAACAGCAAAATCCTTCCCCTTATCCATTGTCTGCATTTATTGGGCATTCACATCACAAACCTAACTTCATAACAAGGTAATAAAATAAACTAAAACAGGACACATACTACTATTAACACTTTCATAGTCCTTGGCTCCTGGCAGGGCAAAATATCCCAAAGTCATCTAAACTCAATTATCAATTCTAATAAATTCAGTTTGCCCCCTTCGTGAAAGTTTAGGACACCTCCCATAGCACAAGTAGAGGAGGACAGAATAATTATACTCTGCATCTGTGCCTGCAAATAAACAAAACGTGTCGTCACTCCAATCCACTGATTGTATAAAATTAAAAGTTGTTTCTTTGAACAAATGAAGCCAGGAGAAAACTTCGGATGACTGCAAGATAATCCTGCTTCAGTGGGAGAGGAGCAAGGACAACTTCCTCGAGAAAACACAGTACAATAAAGTTTGCATGGGCCACTGCAACCTCCCAGATTGTGCGACCGTTTAAGGAAAGAGGCATTTCAAAAATGTCTCAAACCTGCTGTACACCTGTGGCCCGCGGAGCCAAGGGAGAACTCTGATGCTCAGAGCGAGCAGGCACAGACGTTTTACTGCGATCAAAAACTTTGCGATTGCATTTACTAAAACCAGTTTTCCAGAAAGATACCGAGCGACTTGGCGACTACTGCAGATACCAAGATGGAAATTCAGTTAAAAAGAAAGCAAGGGCGCTCTTTTCTGGATGTATATTTCACTCCAACGAAAAGTTGTTTGGTTTTGGTTTTGGTTGTTGTTGTTTTAAGACAAAGCAATGAGGTTCCCGGTTTCCCAGTTCTTGACCTTCAAGAAATGCAAAACGTCAGGACCCAGCCAGAGAGAGAAAGGAAAGTTTGCGTGGCTGCTCTGGAACAGTTGCTGGGACCCTCCTCCCGGGCAGGGTCTCCCCGATCCCGCACGCAGATCGGGGATCGGGGTGGGAACCTCAGCGTGGAGCCGTGGCCGCTCCCCCGAGGTTCGCAACACACCGGCCACCGCCACGCGGGCTCAGGCCCCTACCACTGGCGCGGACCGGACCCCTATCCGCGACCCCGCACACTTCCGGGCCCGACGCCCCGGCCCCAGCCCGCCTGCCCACTTACCGGCATCATTTTGGACCCGAACCGCATCGAAGCGGGTGGCCGACGCGGCCCCAAGCCAAGCGGAGGCGCCCCGGGGGTCGCGGGGTGAGGGGGAGGGGAGCAAGAGCGAGGCCGCTCGGCAGGCGGCGGACCTGTTGCGAGCTGGTGGCGGTGGGTGGCGGGCAGGCGCGCGGGTCCGCACAGCCCTCCCCGCTGGCTGGGGCGCCTCCGAGCCCCGGGCCCAACCGCCGCGGGGCTCCGAACGAGGCTTTGTCTGCTCCGCGCTCGCCTCCGCCGGGCTCCCTCCTCTGCTCCGAAACCAACTAACGCCGGGGCCTGGCCCCCGCCGAGCCCGCGCCGGCTCCGCCCCCCGCGCGGGGCCCCGCCCTCGGCGCGCGGGGCGGGCCTGGGGGAGGGGAGGTGCGGAGACGGGGGCGCGCCTGCGCGGGCCCGCCTGGGGAGGGCGGCGGGGCGGCGGGGCGGCAGGCGCGCGCCCGGGCGGGAGCCGGCGTCCTTTTCTTTGCCGCGGAAGACGTGCCATCGGGGGCGCGCGGCGGAGCGGCTGGAGCGCGCGCCTCTTGGCGGATCCCGGAGTTTGGGGGGCGACGCCTCGGAAAGATAAGATGGGAACGAAAGACACCGGAGGAGCAAAGGGCCGGCACCTCCACTGCTCCAACAGTGCAGGGGGTTGAACACTCGGCCTTCGGGATCCCTGGGCCGAGACTCGGCGCCTGGACTGGGTCCTCCTGGACAGCTGGGCTCGGCCGGAGCCAGGCGACGGGCCCTCGTGGGGGGACCTGCAGGCCACGGGGACAGCCGATCCCCCGGGAGGCCACAAGCACCGCCGGGTCCCAACAAGATGGAGATTCGCGGCGGACGCTCAGCCCCAGGCTCATTCCGGGAGATCCTCGGGGGAAGGAGCTCTCAGCCTTTCATCCCAAATTGTAATTTCAAATCATGTGTGACTTTCTGTAATTTACAAAAAGTACGCTTAAGAATGACTCAAAGAGTAAATTTGAAAAATAAATAAAGCCCCCCCACACACACACATTTAAAAATGTGTAAAGCAGCATTCTAAGGAGCTGCTTTTCTGATGCCCAAGAATATCTTGGATTTCGTACTATCATCCTCGGAGGGAGCGAAGCAAGGGCGCAGGAAGTTACAATGGCTCACCAGAAAAAGGAGCAGCTGGTTCTGGCACCTTCCGCCACCTTCCAGAGGAACAGACTCCGGGAAATCTAACTCCTGGGGCTTTTCGTTGTGCTCAAGTCCTCCCTGCAGGCTCACTCAGAATCATTTTTCTCTGAGAGTCTAGAAAGCGAAGTAAAACATCTAGATTTATCTAGCTTCAAGAATGAACAATTCTTTCTGAGTCCAACAAACCCCTAAGCAGAATCTCCATCAAACTCCATATTGCACCATCCAGTTACATACCTGGAAATAGTCAGCTATGGCTAATTCATTTAGAATTCAAAGTTCTCCAAAACTCTAGTTTAAAGCTTAATTATTTTAAGAGAATTGTCCTAAGTAAAGGGAATTTATCCCTTCCTTGGTTCAGTAAACATTCATCAAATACCAACCCAGTGCTGCGTATTCTTCTAAGTGCTGGAGATACATTAATGAGCCAAACAAAAACTGTATGAACAATAAACCCAATAACTAAGAATAATAATAATTAATAATTACATAAATTACCAAGTATAGTTATAAGGAGTGAAGCAAGTTGCTGGGAAGAGAAGATCATGTTAAATTGGAGAAAATAAGAATCAAAGAAACTCTCATCCTGAAATTTAGCACATTTGTGGAAAGCAGAATCCTTTTTTGCCAACCTGGAGCTCATAAGGGACTATTTAGCACCAAAAAACCAACTTCACATTCCACTGGTTCTCATTATTTTTGTGCATACAAAGAAACTTCAGAAGCAACCTAAATGTCATGATGCACATTCATCCAGAAAAACAATTCCAGATATGGATCACTATGCCTCCAGTTCTCAACAATAAAAAACATTTCTTTTTACCACCTGAAAACTGAAATGACCGCACACAAATTATATCTAATATGAGTATTGGCAGCCCTAGCTTGTTAATAAAACAATTACGATGGAAAGAAGCAAGGAGAGAAGAATTGGAGTAAGATGCTCCGATTCTATTTCTTTACTGCCTGTTTCACAGATGACCTGCCTGAGAGAGGGAAGGAAAAAGGGACAGCAGCTGGCACCCTGTCCCGAAACTCATTTCCAGCCAACTGAGAGATTCCCTGCTGCCAAATAGCAGGTATGTTTATGTTGAGGGTTTTTTGTTTTCTTCTTCTTTTTTTTTTTAATCAGAGAAGCATGAAACCAAAAACAAACGCTTTGGTTTTATTCCTTAAATTCTGTGCCATTCACAGAGGGCTGTCAGAGGGTTTTCTCCCTTCCAGGCTTCACCGCCCTTCTTCATTCCAGCCCCCTCAGCTGCCTAGTCTGCTGAGCCTCTCCTTGCTTCTCCCTCTATAATTCTGTCTTCAACCCCAAGAAAGAGAAGCTACATTACCACCAGCTGGGTGGGGAGCTGTCTTCTCTTTGCACCTCACCTCACCCCCAGGCACAAACAATTAACTATCTATTTGGCTTGCGTTCAGATGTTTCAGTTCACAACTTTCTCCCCATTTCCCATGGTGGTTCCAACCGTTGTATCCCTCTCCCCTTTCCAAAGATCAGCTCCCACCTTCCTTAGCCAAGAAAGTAGAGGCTAGGAGGGCTTCACTCCTGCAGTTCATTCCCCCCACCTCCAACCCGCCATGCCTCCTCTCTACTTTCTTCCCACTGACTTATTTTACTAATACTCTTGTGTGTCTGTATTTTGCAAGGCACATTGTTCTAGACTCTAGAAATACCACAGTCAATAAAACAAAGACTCTGCCTTCATGAAGCTTATATTCTAGTGGAGATAGACAACAAATGAATGAGGTAATAATGAATACTGGGGGGGGAGGGGGGGACTAGGGAAACCTAAGAGAGTAATGTCTGTGTTGATAGTGTGGTCAGAGAAGGTGTCTGAGCAATGAAGTAAAGAAGGAAACAGACTCTAGGCTGGGGAAACAGCAACGGCAAAGGCCGGAAGTATGTAGCATTTTATTTTATTAAAGATTCTTTTTTTTTTTCTTTATTGATTTTAGAGAGAGAGGAAGGGAGAGGTAGAGAGAGATAGAAACAGCAATGAGAGAGAACATCAATTGGCTGCCTCCTGTATGACCCCCACTAGGATTTGGCCCACAGCCTGGGCATGTGCCCTGACCGGGAATCAAACCGTCAACACTCAACCACTGAGCCACACCAGCTGGGCAGTATGTAGCATTTTGAAGGAACAGCAGAACCAGTGTGCCTGGAGCTGACTGAACAAAGAAGGGGATTGTAAGAGAGGTGGAAGGTATAGCCAGGGCCTGCATCACATAGAACCATTTAATGTTTCACCTATTATCCTCCCTCTGGAAACCTCAGCTTCTCCATTTTTACAGGCTTCTTAGCCTACAGATCTATTCACTTCTCCCTGCATTCCCTCCCAGTTAGCAGCAATTCAAGAGCGAGATGGGCAGAAGCTTGAGTTTGCCTTGAATACCTTCCCCCCTTCTCCTGTATGGTAAGCTTCTACTCATCTTTGAAGTCCTTACCTAAATGTCATTCTTGGAAGTCATGTCTGATGTTTCTCAAACAGAATTAATCAATATCTCATCTATATTCCATAGCCATGTATAATTTAATTATTATAGCACTTACCATATGATACAGGAAAAAAAATCTGTCTCCCCAACTAGACCCTGTGTATCTTCAGCCCTAACATTGTGCCTAGAGCATAGTAGGCACTCAATAAATGTAGAGTTGATGGTACTGAAATGTTTACCTTGCTCTCTTCTCTCTTCTGGTGTAGTGAGGTTTTGTTCTGGCTCCTGTAATAGCCTCAGGCAGGTCTTCCTACATCTTGTCTTGCTCCCTCCAATTTTTTTCCACTTAGGGGTTGGTGAACTCCAGGCCAAATGGGGTTTGCCTCCTGTTTTTGTATGGCCTATGAGCAAAAATAATTTTTATATTTTTAATGGTTGGGGAGAAAAAGATTCCAAAGAAAAAGAATATTTTGTGACAGGTGAAAATATGAAATGTAAATGTCAGTGTCCTTAAGTAAAGTGTTGTTGGAACACAGCCACACTTACCTGTGTACCTATTGTCTGTGGCAGCAAAGGGGAGTAGCCTGCACAGCCTAAAATATTCACCGTCTGGCCCTTTAAAGAGGAAGTTTGCTGATCCCTGCTCTACCTAGTAGCAAGAATGATCTTAGCAGAAATATAATCAAGGCCACGTTTAAAACTCTTCAAAGTGGATAGGCAGGCCCTGGCCAGACAGTTTACTTGGTTAGAGCATCACCCTGATATCCCAAGGTTGGGGGGTTCAATCCCTGGTCAGGGCATATATAAGAATCAACCAATGAATGCATGAATAAGTGGGAACAACAAATCAATGTTTCTCTTCTTCTCTCTTCCTCTCTCTCTAAAAATCAATAAATGAAATTTTTAAGAAGTGGACAGGCATATGGATGTGGCAGGATTGAAGGTTGAATGTGTTGGAGCCAGATAATGAATAGTCCATGGAGCTTTTATTATACTTTTCTGTCTTTCTGTGTTTGCTTTAAATTCTAGTTAGTAAATGTTTTTGTTTGTTTTTTGTTTGTTTGTTTGTTTGTTTGTTTATCCTCACTGAGGACACTTTTGCATTTATGTTCAGATAGAGTGGGAGGGAGAGAGGGAGGGAGGGAGAGAGGGAGGGAGATAGAGAAATATCGATGTGAGAGAGACACATCACCTGGTTGCCACCCACACAACCCCAATCGGGGCCGGGGACAAACTGCAACCGAGGTACGTGCCCCTAGCGGGAACCGAATCCAGGACTCTGGTCCGTGGGCCGATGCTCTAACCGCTGAGCCAAACCTGCCAGGACTGGGTTTTTTTAATGAAAAATAAATGCTTTCCATTTCTTTCTGTTTCTGTTAGGATACTATGCTGTCAACATGGCCTCCAAGCCCCCACTTAGTCTAGCTCATACCCACTCTCCAAGAT